TACGACTCAGCCGATACGAACGATCAGCGGTCAGACTCTACGATGTCCTCGACGCGGTTTGTGCCGCTTCACATCCGCCGACGAAATTGCGGGAACGCAAGGTCCCCGGCTTCTGTTCGTTGACCTTTGCGCGAGCTTTGTTTTCCGCGGATGATCGCGTGCGACGCGAGCGTTGGTGAGCGAATGGCATCGCGCTCCTCTCGCGTGCACCGCTGCTGTCCGCGCGGCCCATGCACGCGCGAGCGAACTCGATGCCCGCGGGCAGAGGTGAGTGGGCGTCGCAGCGATTTGTAATTATCCGATAATTCGTGCAACCGCATTCCAATGATGCGACGCGAAGTTATCCCGAGCCGCGTTTTCCGAGACGCCGTCGCGAGATGCAATGCCGGGCTTAATTACGTCAATTTTGTAACGGGCTGCCGATACGCTTTCTCCGCCGAAGAGGAAGAACACAAAGAAGATGATATTGAAGAAACTATCATTCGTGCGCGTACCTCCGCGCGGCTCGAATTGACGAAAAATTATTTCATAATGCTCGAGAGGATTCGAGAGAACCTTAATGTTATTTGATTTGGTTAAAAAGATGATGATACCGGCGAAATATCGCGGAACGCTCTCTCATTTGTTTCATTATCTCTTACCTGCATCCATCACGTGCATCCGACCGCCGTTCTTTCCCTTTCTTTTCGGATCATTTCCCACGAGTTGCGCCCTCGTCATTCGAAGGCGGAGAAAAGCGACCTCGTAGTCGCGGGTGCTACGTGATGCATCCGATAATTGCGTGTATATGCATGCAATCTCGCTCGTTGACGAAGCCGCCGATCGGCGAGAGTCGATGATGACCGTCGGCGTTGTGCAAGATCGCGGAAGTATCGGGCCGTATTGGCATTCCGTGCGATTCTTATTGGGCGATTCTCCGTCCGTCAGCACGATCGAGATGTACATTTCGCCTCTCCGCCGCCGACGACGGCAGGTGCGCGCGAGTGATCGTCGCGCTTCGACAGGCCGACTGCATTTTCATTATTGATTGTTTTAACGCTCGACTGAAATCCGAACCACCAAAGATAAGTGCAAATACACACGCGCGTTTTTTAATCCGCTTCATCGGCTCGCTGTTAGCACGTGCACGGAGAAAATTATACTTAAACATTTATTTGTGAGCCTTATATTTCGCAAGTAAATGTTAACATTTTTTTTCCTCACTGCGGGGTGTTAATTGACCGCGCGATGAAATCGCCGTCGCGGGAGAGTTAATTCTCTCATGGCGCTCATGGTGCCCTGCCCTGACCTGCTCTTACTGGATGCGGCCAGAGGCTGGGCAGGATGAAGATTGCTCGCCGAGCAATCCAGACCGCCGTGCGTGCCTTTCTCCTTCGCGCGGCCCGGAGATACGATTCCTCGTAAATAAAAATAGATTTCGTTCGTCCGTCATGTGCCATTACCTTGTTGTTTCTCGTCTTTCTTTCCTCCTTTTCTCTTCTTCTTTTTCGCGCGAACCAAGTATCGTTCTCTTATCTCACGTGCATTTGCATTTTCCATTTCACTAGCGTCGCGGAAGAGCGATCGCAAGGCGCCGCGATCTCGTCGGTATCTCACGCTAAGAACACTGAATTACACCTCATTATCGTCGCAACGAGATAGCGCGCGCGCACACTTATACGTTAATAACGGATAATCAATGGCTGAGCGCGACGCTGACTTGTAGTCCGTCCGATCGAACAAGATCGCGAGGGGAGATCTTAATTTTCTAAATGTAATAAACACGGCGGAGAAAGACGTACGTGCTTTGAAATTTTTAAACGGACTAACTATCATTGGAGGAGGGAGAAAGAGAGAGAAAGGTCACGGTATGCATGAGATAACGAATCAAAGAGAATTCTCTTCGAGGAATCGTCAATAACGCGAAGACTCGGTGAAGTGGCGCGAAAGAACTGCCAATTAAAGATTATCGATTTGGCAGAGAGAAGTATGTAATCATTTTCTGTGGCGCGCGATTCGACGAGAATCTTCTCTGCTTTCGAGGATAATATAAAACCCACGTGATATTTCTAAATATGACGTTTTCATGCGCGTCTTACGATTCCGCGCACAGTCTTATTATTTTCCTCTTGCCTGACGGAAGAGAAAAGGAGAAGAGAGAGAAAGGAGAAAAGAATCCGGCAGAAGTCCCACGCGAACGGCGGATTTGCATCTAACGAAGCGCATTTAGCGTCAAATATTTCACGACGCTGCGACGCTCATGCCTGCCGATGCGAAGAGCTTTAATGTCGATTCTCAACGCGAGGAAAGGCGACGGCAAAATGCATAACGATCGCGCCGCCGGAGCCGATCGTTCCTCCTCGATATCGAGCGGTAAATTCTGCGCGAAATTGTTTATCGGCGCGTAATGTCCGCTGAAAGCGATCGCACTTTGGGAGAGGCGGCGGGCAAGCAGGGAGGAAAGAAACGCGCGAACAGGGAAAGAAAACGAAATCTGCGTATTACGCAACATTCCGTTTGCCGGTTAACGCGGAGAAATATCATTCCGCGCGCAACGCGGAAAACAGGTTTCATTTCGGTGAGGGGGCGGGCATAAAGCAACGGTTATTTTCAGCCGTCCTTGACGAAAATGCAGGAACCATGCAGTGGTTTCTCGAAAAATATGCGATCCAAGTGGAAAGTACGGGGACTCCCCCCGGTTGACTCTTCCGTTCCGGGTTTGAACGGTACTTTGGACCGTCGCAGCCTGCATAGGAAATTTCTTTAGATTTAATTAGGATTCAGACCGACCTCCCAAAATAATCACGGATTTTATTTGAAAAATCTATGTAGGTTCTAGTTGGAAGTGTAATGTTTCAAATATAGTATGGATTCTAAGTGGGAAACATAAATAAATCCTATTTGGTCATCCCCAGCGTATGTTCACAGGCATTTTTTCTGTTTCCATTTTACATTATACCGAAATAAAGTTCAACTAGTAATATTTACTTGATCCGAATAAAACGGTTATTCCAATATTCTTTGGCAAATATCTATTAGAAGAATATCAATTAAAAATATAATCGACTGTATGTATAATATGTATCCTTCGTATAAATAGACATTTACTGTATGTGTTAAAACAATTGCGACAAGTATTAAATTCATAATATTGAGAATATCAGAATTTATTTTTAGAGAATATTTACTCTGGACAGAAAAATCGAAATTTCAAATCACTAAGTTTCTTTAATGGAAAAGATACAACATAATTTTAATTAATACACTCTTAAATTTAGAACTATTGGTATCGTGGTGGAATAACCTATTCTGGGAGAATCCTAATTGGTATCCATACTACACCTGGGAAAATCTGGGCAGATTTCTCTGCGAGCGAGCGACGACGAGGTCTCCCGCGGGGGAAAATCGCGTTCGCACAAGATATCGCAAGAACTCGCTGAGAGAACGACGCGTTTCGCGTCCGGATCGTTGGGTTACGGCAACGACGGCATCGATATTGCGCATGACGTTGCCGAATCGGCCGTCGGATAGTCGAGCTTCCGAAGCGGCCGATGCGAAGATTATTAATAAAATAACCAGGCGCGTTCATTAAGAGACTGAGGGAGAGGAGAATGTTTAATTAAAGTCATGCAGGAATGGTAATCACACGCGATCATCGAACAAAAGTATTCCGTCGGATCGACGGGAGAAACGGAAATGAAGAAATAAATAATAAGCCCGCTCGGATCATGATTTATCTTTGCGCGCGCGCGCACACGAAGCAGCCGCAGATCGAATCGCAATATTTCTCATGATTCACGCGCATTTCCCACTTTTCATCGAACGCGCGGGAAAGGTACACGTCTCTCGATTGCAGATGAAAACCAAGCAAGAGAATGTCGTCCTTACGAATTGTATCGTTCCAGAGAGAACTAATAGACTTATTCACTCACTCACTCACTCTCTCTCTTTCTCTGTCGCTTTAAAGACATTCCGCGGTGTCATTTCAGGCGAATCAATCGATTGCCCACACACACACGCGCGCAAGCATATACAGCGATCTATTACGTGATTTAAGATGCATACAGCGCAGGCGAACGCGCGATACCAAACATAGTCGTGAGTAATTGCCGTGCGCTTCACCGGCGACTTACACGCTTTTGCCCAGCTCTGTGTAATTTACACCGATATCGTCAGTCCAATTTCAATTAGAGAAATAATTATGCGATGCAATTACCCAAGGGTCCCCGAGCGACTCGCTGCGCGATAATGATTATTATAGCGCGTACACTGGCACGATCGATGGCGCGAAATCTGCATTCTAATTAGCCGATAACGATTCCCGGCCGATTCGACGGGATAGTACGGCAAAGCGATCGGACGACGTTCGCGCACTCGCGTTAATTGCTAATAGCTGCGCCAGTGAGAGGGTGTCTGTTTAGGATAACACAGTTTCCCTCATTCATCGCGATATAATGTGCTTAACGCGCATAATATGTACGTCGCAATCGCGCGCGGTAATCGCGTTTAAATTAATTACAATCGCGATAATCGCTCATATTAAGGTGGGCGTACAATGAGCGAACGAACAAAGAGCAAACGGCGAATGCAAACTTTCGTCGTTACGATTCGGAAAGTGTATATGCTATAACTAGAGATGTAAAATTACCGACAAATTCAAACGACAAACGACACCTACGGTAAAGCTACGGTAAAATGATTATTTATTGGTAATTTTGGTAAAATTCGTTGTTTTCGATAGTTTCATGCACAAATAAGCTGTATTCATATTTTTCGCGCTAATGCATAAGATAAAACAACATTCTTCTTATATTTACATCAAATGTAAAAATATACTGTTCCGGATTGTGTAAAAATTTTCGTATCCTTGTGAGAGCTTTAATAACAAGTTTTTACAATCGTAGAAATCAGATTGCGCTTTACTTATTTTTGACAAAGTGACATCGGAATAAAAATTCATACCTTTTAAAACAAATCGCCGTTTGTTCCTTGCTCGTTCGCTCAGTGTATGCCCAGCTTAATCCTCCATTAGCAAATTTGACCTCGTCAATTCGTTGATTATGAATTTTAGAATAAACGATAGACGATGAAGTTCAATATAAACTTCTTTATATAAAAGAAAACTTAGTTATAGTGAGACGTTACAATTCGGAAAATATGTACACTATATAACAGATCGGAACAAAAATATTTGCTCATAAAGTGGCTTATCAAAAATGTTTGTGCGCGTTTAGACACGTATATTCACATTCATATTAAACGTTAGCTGTTCGTCTCGCACTTTCACATCCGCGGGAGCGGATATCCATCCCAGACAGGATCACAATGACATCAAATGGCAGCCGGGTAAAGTCACAGTGACGTCAGAATGACGACTGACAAAACTTACTCTTCGATCGTTTCCTCGTCATTTCCCACGTCATTCCGACGTTATCGCTTTACCTGGGTATCGGTCCATTCGCACAGCATCGATCTACATATGTGCGGGACACCCTTTCCCTCGAACGCACCCTCACTCGCGCTATTCGCGACCTGTGATGAGAGCGCAGAGAAAGAGAGAGGGGGAATGAGAGACTCTTTACTTGGGAGGCGTCCCTCACCGCCAGGTTCTAAGGCAAGGTAAAACGCGCTGATGAGGCAAGGTAAGACGGGACAAGACAAGGCAAGACGAGACACAGCAAGGTAAGGTAAGGCACGGCACGGCACGGTAAGGGAGTCGCCCCTCTACTCGTGCCTACCGGGGTCCCAACGCCGTTCAAGAATCATCTTATTAGACCCACACTATATAAAGGCAACGTGCCAGCATGCCGAGCAGTTACGTACTGACTTGATTCACAGTCGTGCGTCGTGCAGAGTGCAACACGTTGCGAGCGATTATCATCACGCACAGCCTGTTCGTACACGCATGTACACACGCGTTACAATCATCATTCCGCCGAGCGTTTCATTTCACCCTGTCTGTGCGACAGACGCCGATAAGGGCCCGCGAATTGCGACCGACACGGTGATATTTCATCGCGTTCGCCAAGTGGGTGCGTCCTCGCGGATCCGCGACGAGAACGGTGTCTCTCTCTCTCTCTCTCTCTCTCTCTCTACCTCCTCCTCGCGAATCAGTGCACGGTCTCGGCGGGAGAGTTCTGCCGAATTTCGCGAAATTGCCGGGCGACGTACGGCTCTATGTGTGTTGTTGTGTCGCGCGACAATCTCGTGGAATTGCCGGCTGGCTGAATGGGCGACGTCGATTCGTTGCTCCCGAGAGAGACGGCAATATTATTTATTATAGACTTCCAGTTTCACTTACGGTATATTCAAGCACCGTCTTTTATGATTTAGTAACCGCGTAACCGCGAGATTTGCATTCCATTTGCATATCTTTCTTTTCTCTTGTATCGTCAAAGAATTTCCAACAAAATAAATGGACAATACACTTGGATAGTTCCTCGGCATATCGAGATCGTCGGGAAATTGAGCACGTCGAAAGGTGTCACTTGAAAATTGCGATTTTTCCTGAGAAAGACAGAAAGAGACGCGCTGTGATGAAATATCATCGTGGTCGCGTGTTCCTCATAAGACGGATTACCGCACGCATTATTCAACATTATTCAACGTACCTTTCTCCCGAGCGTTCACACATTTATCCGCTCGACGACGGCCTCCTAGAACATCCTCTGTTGCTCCGCATTCGATCGACTAAGGTTCTCTCACTCGTAGAACGTTAACACGAAACCTTTTGCAGTGCGCGTCCTCCGGAGGATCGTCTCGTTGTTGTTCCTGCTGAGCGAGTCAGCGCAGTTCTCAGCACGTCGACCTGCGTCATTTAACATTGCAGCAAAATGTATTATTTGCAGGTACGTGTGTAAATCTCTTCTTCATAGATGCATTTTCTAAACTGATCTGCTTTCTTTTTTTGCCATTTGAAAGTTATCGCGAAGTAAGTAATGATAATAAATTATTTATATTTATTCAATAACTTATTTATTAAATAAAATTATTTATCATCGTTAAATCTCCATCATCTTCTCTCTTCCACGAAGTGTCAGATATCAATTATACAGAAAAATCAACTCTGTTAGTGTAATTTATTTTTCCGTTGCTGGAGGACCAGACAAAAATTCAGGAAAAAATAATTTGCTGCCGCAGCAAATTTTATGCTACCGCAAGAAAATCTGTCAATTACTGTATAGACTGTAAAACGATTTGTCAAGAATACTAATTTCCATTTGCTGAATTATTTTGCTGATTCTACATATTATTTTACTGTAATAATAGGTTAATTAATGTAGAAAAATACTATTTGATTCTAACAGCAAATTAACGTGTTCTAAGGACAAATTTACTCAGTGGAATATTTTGTATCCAACAAAACCGTTTCCGCTCTAATTATGAATAATTCGCTAATTTGGTTATGCCAACTTTAATTTTACGGATTTAATTGCTGTCGTAACGAATATGCAATAGCAATGATGTGTGTGGTTTTGTTACAACAGCAAAATTATTTTTCTTCGTGTAAGAACAACAAGATTCCTATAGGAGGTTTCCACTCAATTGTTCTCAGTTGTCTGAACCGAGCGTAAATGAATGTTCACACGATGTGTTCAGTCGCGGTAACAGAGATATCATTTCTCGTCACCGAATTTTTATTTAGTCCCCACTCGATCACACACATTATTCTACCGCTAAAAAAAGCGATTCAGTTTACTTTCCTTCTTTTAAATAATGGTTATCTTCAACACAAAAAATATTTCCCTGATAATAAAAACTCTAAAAAAAGCTTATTATTATGTATTCAAAGGAAGAATTCATTCTCTTTTCAAGGATATTATAAAATTTCGAAAAAAGTTAGATTTGACTAATTTAAACAAACAATCCGATTTGTGCTTTAATTTAATATTCTTAATTACTAAATTGCTTTAATACTAAATTTATTAGCCTCAGAATATATTTTGTATATATTTTAAAATATGATTTACGGATATAAATTTATGAAATACTTGAAACAAATAACATTTGTTGCTATATGTTTTTCTGTGTGCAGGAATTGAGATTTTTGTTCCGTGTATTTCATGACGTGTTAAAAACGTCAAATAATGTATTGAATACGTACTAACGACGTAATAAACGTCATTATTACGTTATACTGTTTGCTGAGATTTTATTCTAAATATAGACGGTGCAGCATATAGCGAATTTGATCACTTACACTACACCGGATTAGTGTGCTATACATAAAATATAATGATATAACATAGAACGTTCGACGATGAAAGTAATTAATGTATATATTCTGCTAAATAACGTAACAATATCACTATTAGGTATTTAGTCATTCAAAATATTTATACGCTTTTTTATTTCAATAACTGCTTCATATATAGCAGCTTTCAGCATCAATCCGGTATAGTGCGAGGGATCGAATTCGTTACTAATTATAATTACACAGTAAAATATTTTGTTTTAAAAACGGTTCACTGAAATTTTGTGTCACTTTAACATGAAGAATGTGTTAAAAAGTAGACAAATATAATGAAGTAAAAAATAAAATAAAATCAACAAACATATGTTGATAAGTGAATGTATTAATTTAACATTACATTTGTGTACTTTTCAATACATACCTTTAACACGTATGTTAAGTAACACAAAATTTCAGTGAACCGTTTTCAATACAAAATCTTCTATTGCGTATAAAGAATAGACTTAATAGCAAGCGGGTAATTAAAAGTAAATTTTTTCAAGATCCTCGTTCGATCAAGATGCATATCCTTCGCTACTAATTAATCCATCATGTATCGCAATTAACGTTTGTAAAAGTTCCGAGTGAATCTTCCTCTGTCGTGCGTCTCCGTTGCGAGTCAATCGCTCGCTCGGGCAGACGTAATTGCTCACGAGCGTTGCGGCAAGACACGTCCCGCCCACGAGTTCCGTTAGCGCATTCACAATTATAAGTATAGAAATACCATTAGAGTCTGAGAAGCGTGACGTAGGTACAGTTATTTTACAAACGACCTCTCCTTCTCGCGAGGGGACCGAATCGCGCGAACAACGAATTGATGGATGAGTTACCGGCGGATATACACGGCCTCTGTCGCCGCGCGCTTTATTGTTTACAGCCGTCACACATTATAATTATAAACGACAGCTTACGATAATTTATCGCAATAAAAGCTAGCGCGATAATTCAGCGTGATAAAAACACTCCTCGGTGACGCGATATCGTGTTGTAAATTATTCCTGTTCGAGAGTCGCTCGATACAAACCCGCCGATATACGTCGAGCAATCGGATACTCAAGTCTCTCAATTATAACTGCCGATTATCGTAATCGATTAACGTCGAGCGTCGGAAATGAGTGAGAGAGCGCGGACGGTCTCCCAGGAGCTGCGGTGGAGGACGACGAGGAGGAGGCTCGTCGCAAAACCTGTCCCGTCGGTTCAAACCGCGATTACTCCTCCACTCTGCCCCACGAGACCTTTCCGCAGTTAGTAAAACTCCGCCACGGCTTAATCGGCGGCTAACAGGAAAGGATGGCTGTCCCTCTCCCCGCGCCTTGATAGAACGATTTTGTTATAAATCACTTTTGCGCTGTCACGCCGTTTGATTCATCATTATCATCATCATCATTATTATCATCCCGGCTTGATTAATCGAACGGTCTCTTATCCGCGGCAAATCGATGATCGCCGTGATGATCTGCCAACACCGTTAGGAGACGCGCGGCGATCATCGATTTGCCGCGTCTACACACGAGCTCACCTCGAGATGTTTAACTAACTGTCGATCATCCTTCTTCTTCTTCTATTATTCGACCGACGTGCCGCGCCGAAACGGACGAATCTCGTTCGGATAGAGCAAAGCGTTTGCTCAAGCCCTTTCGATATATCTCGTTCTGTCTATAATATGCGAGTGGCATTTCCAAAGACGCGGAGTTATTGCAGCGCTTCGGAGATGTAATTTCCCCCCGGAGGTGTGTGATTTCGTCTTTTCTTCCTCCTTTTGTTTATTTAATACGTTCCGTGCCGAAGAATTTCGCGCAATTTTTCGCTTGGTTCACGCAGCTGTCAAATGGGCCGCACAGGAAACTATAAATGTTTCCACTGTACATTAGATGATGTTTTTAAGAAAGCAAATAGTGTAAAATATTTCATGGTTATAATAATATAGTTAAAAAAAACGCTTTCTTCAACTTTTGTTCAGAAAGAAACTGAAAAAATATGTGGAAAATTTGAAAAATTCGTTTTTATTTTATTCATTCATTCGTCTGCAAAAAGAAATAAAAAAAAATAAATAAAAAAAATTAAAACTACAGATTATAGCATTTTTAGTGATGAGAATCGCTTATGGCTAGAATAAAAATTGTGTCGTGTACTACATGTGGCGCACATGGCACGGAATGTGTTAAATTAATTTATAATGAAACGCTTCATTGCTCGTCATATACGGAGGAAACAAATTTGCTAGAGCAGCAAATGTTTGTTAATATAGTAGCAAAAAAAATTTGTTTAGACAGCAGAAAGATTTGTTAGAGTTAAGAGTATTAATTGTTATTTGCTGAATATGTGGACAGCAAAATAGTTTGGTTATGCCAATTATATAAATTTTATTGCTGTCGCAACGTTTTGTTACAACAGCAAAATTATCTTTTCCGTGTAACATATTTTTGTGCTGTCACTATATTGATAAACAATTTGCTGTTCTAGCAAAACTTGTTTTCTCCGTGTAGAGAGAACGAGGGAGAGACGATAATATGAATAACTTATTGTAGACTTAAGCCTGATTGCACCAAACTCCTATTAAGCTAAGCGGCGATTAACCAACAGAGTTGTAACTGAAACTTTGAATTCCTTCTTTTTCTCCATTTCTTTTGCAACGGAAATTTCAGTTGGTGAGCCTGTAAATTAACCGTCACTTAGCTTAATCGGAGTTTGACGCAACCGGGCCTTTCATTTTTATGGTAGACAGAGTCTCATTTAATTCCTTGTTACGTAATCGCAATAAGATTTTCCTTAATAAATTGAAAAACGAGCAATTATATAATTTCTTTATTAATTCTCAATTAATGGTCTGTCACACTTGGGAGCGATTCACGTAAGAGAACCCAATCATCCTCCGAACAAATAAAGGCTCGGTCCGGAGAGCCCGCAGTCTCGGCCAAATCATCATATTGTTGTCATTAGCGCGCCTCATCATTCCCGTTAAACTGTGAAGAAAAGCGATCACGACGGCCGGTGAGCTCATCGGCGACGTAACGGCATAATCGACAACGTCGATGCGCGCGCCCACGCCAAGCACATTGAATCCCATACCGGATTATTTAAGGATGCAATGTGTGCAATGATATCGTTTCGTAATCCCGCTAACGCATAATGCGTTAATGAGACGTTAACTAACGAGTTTGCAGTCGCATCCGTCAATCCCATGCCGCGAGCGCGCGATCGGCCGCGGCTTCTCTCTCACGCGGCTCTTTTCCACGTTTCGATCGACTACTACTGGAACGAAATTGCAACACGCACGAAGCCTCGCATCGCCGTCGGCAGCCTTTACATACTCTCTCTCACCCGCACCTCCTTCTCGTCTGTTTATATTTTATATTTAATGCATACTCGTCGTCTCTTGCTCTCTCACTTTCTCTCTCTCTCTCTCTCTCTCTCTCGACGTGGGTTGCGAGAGCGTTGCAATCGAAGTACAGGGTTAAGAGCATAATACAAAGGTCTCCACTGTCGCAATAGAGCACAGATCGCCAGGCTGCTTCTCCGTTTGTTGGCGTAATATCGCCAACATTATTGATTCGGTTTGCTCCTCTTTCACGCCGATTCTCTTTCAGGTCGTCACCGTCGTCGTCGTCGTTGTCGTCGACCTAATAGCCGGTCGCAATAATGACGACGTGTGTCAAACGCGACCTGTTATTACGCTGTGAAAAAAGGCCCTCTCCCGCGATAAAGATCCCCTGGTTGTCGCTATCGTCTGCGAAATCACGTTGCGAATCGAGTGCGTGAAAGAGGATGTCCTTTAAAGCGACTGGTGCCAATTTTTTTTTTTAACAACGAGTGAACGTGCGCGAATCCTCGCGCGGGCACTCGTGACGCGACTTTCGTTACTTCTGCCATTCTCGGATTGAGAGGCCCGACGTGAGAAAGTCACGTTCGCCGCAAAGTTGCAGTCCGGTTGAAACTATACTAGGCCAACGAGCGATGACGAATGACTGCGGGCGTTTAGCTATTTTATAACAATGAATAATTAATTGCATAAAATTGGCAAATTAAGTAATAACACAGACGAGAGAGGAATATCGAACGCGACGGACGCATGTTAGAATTATTTTATCCGATCGACGTTCCATCGTCATCAGTCTATAATTATTCCCATCAATCTCATCAAAAGGCACAACGCGAGAGATATGTTGCACCGCGGAAAAAATATCGTCGTCCGACGTCTTGACGTACTAAATATCAAGCTTGGATCACACCTCCGATGCGAAGAGACACAGACAGATAGAGAGAGATAGACTCTTGATTTATTAAAATTACACGCTCGTAACACGTGCGCGACAAGGCTCGCATTTGTAACTGATAAACTACGCGACAAATGTCAGTTTACGCGCGAGGACGATTGTGGCGGTATTCAACACCGGATCTGAAAGTTGAGAAGCGTCTCTGCTACGTGAATGCCATTAACTTTCGATCGATCGGCTTAAACGACGTCGACGATGAATATTTGTGTTCAAAATTTGTAGTTAATAAATGTAAGAAGAAACTTCTCAACGATATATTCAAAAGTGCGATGAAATAAATTATAAGAAAAGAACAGTAAGGAAGCAAACAAGAGCAAAGATGATATTCGTCGAGAAACGCTCGTTAATTAATATTTGTATAGCTTTCAAGTTTCGAAAAAAAAAACCAATTTCTTTCTCATTTTCCGCGAACTTTTTTGTTGGTTTTTTTCTTCTTTACAGAGGAAAGTAAATATGGCAAGTTTTAACTGAACACGTGTAAATTTTTTTTAACGAATTTTTGTACTCTTGAGATAAAAAACCGATAAGATCCACGGAAAAATGGGAAAAAATACAAGTTTTTTCTTAAACTTTCTTTAAAACTATAAATATTTATATAATAATAATTAAATAAATATAAATATATATATATATATATATATATATATATTTACTTATATTTATATAATTATTATTTATTTTTATACACATACGCGTGTAATAATAAATAGATATATAAATATAAATAATAATAATTGTTGTAATATACGAGCGATTGATGGAGAATGCAGCAGCGATGACTATACGACATATAATTCCAACAAAAGGTCCTACTTTATTTGACGCGCGGCGCGTCACGATGACATCAAGGCTCGACGGAAACTCATGTATCCGGCTACATTAACCTGTCTCATAAACCTACTAATTCGACCTACTCTTACACTTGTAAATATAAAGAGAAGAAATTCGCGGAAAGTCGTCCTTCTTTCACGGATACAGACATTAACTTTGATCGGCGAGCCTTATTCTATTTTCGTCACAAGTTCAGACATAAGATTAACGATATACTAACTGAAATACTTGAAACGTACCTCCGACGGGACATTCAATGTGATAATAATTTCTTCTTTCTCTTTCTTCCCGGCAATCGCTCTTTCCCCCGCGCAGTTGGCTGTGCTCTGTGTGACGATGGTGAGTGTTATCGGCGATTTACCACCGGGTACCCAGCGCAACACGTATCTGCCGCCCAAGCCGACGCCTGGCGGCTACAAATACCCGGTACCGACAGTGACGTTCCCTACAGGTTCGACGCAGACGTTCCCTCCGCATACGTACCCTACGCGTCCAACGATCCCTCCACGTACCCCGACGTACCCGACGCATCCGACCTTCCCAACGCAGGGCACTTATCCCACCAGACCCACAACCAAGACGGACTACAATGGCCAACCGAGCATTAATGGAAATGTCATCGGCGTAAGTGTGTATATACGTTTGTAATATGTAATAAATAATAAAACATTTGTATCACGGCAGATATTAATAGATAATAAAAATGATAATCACACACTGAAAAAAATTGTTACGTTCGAGTAAAATATTTGCTAAGGAGTGTTGGAGTAATTAATTTTATTCTAATTAAATAAATATTATTTGAACGTAGCACATTGAAAGAAAGAAAGAAAGTGTTACATTAAAGTAATATTAACTTAATCCAAATAAAATTAACTACTTCAATATTCTTTAGCAAATATTTACTTGAACGTAGCAATTTTTTTTCAGTGTATAGATAACCAAACCTGCAGATTTTGCGCGATGTCTGTTTTTTGTCGGCAGTTTGCTAACAAAAATACAACAGGAATTGCTAATAGAGCATGACAGATTGATGGATTATCTTACAATACCGTGCAAGATCTGTCGTTTCGTCACCATTTAAGTATATTTAAATCGAATATACTGTAGATCCTGCTCGGTTTCTACCATCCATCTGCTGTCGAGTTATATCAGTAAGCTCTGTCGACAGGACATAAGTTTAATGCGACACAGATGGCGATGAATTTGCCGCGGTATTTTGATCGGATCTGCTGCCAATTTGCTGACATATCGCTAATATTTTGCTTACTGAGATATTCCAGTAAAAATTTAACCAACAGTAACATTAACATTATAATTTCTCATTCAACAATATAAGTGCAATATAACATGCATTGTATATTAACACTATGCCGTCCAGCGACACCACGTTGGTGTCGTGCGCAAAACATCGCGCAAAGGCCGGTGGCACCACGTTGGTGTCGTGCGCAAAACTATCGCGCAAAGGCCGGCGACAGCACTGTGGTGCCGTTTGTGTTTTGATTGTGTACTGTTTGTATTCTGTTTAAGCAACAATAAGTTACAGAGATAAGCGTGTCTTTTATTTTTATAAGTACTTGTGCCCTTTGATAATGGCAGACAAAAGCTACTACATCGCGTGCTTCCGATCATGATTCGATCGACAGACTTTCCGGTCAGCTAAAGCAACACCAGCTAATACAAATTTCCGAAACCGACAAACGAAAACGAAGAAAGTGCCATGTATGTTCCAAAAACAAAAAAAGAAGGACAACAAATTTAATGTGAAAGTCTTGTGGAGACGCGTTACACCTCGGAGATTGTTTTGCTTCATATCATCTAAAAGAGAAATATTAAGTACCCAATAAAATATTAATAAATAAATAAATATATAATACAAAAAAATGTTACATTTATTTATATATATCCTCGAAATTTCATGAAAATAGCGGGACAGGATTGAAAACTAATGAGAACTGACGATTTATGATCTCCCGAAAACCTCGAAAAACCGCCGGCGACAAGCGAAATGATCAGTCCTACCGGCACCAGACAAAAGAATCCCGATTAGACGTGCGGACGGCATAGTGTTAACATTTATATTGTTGAGTGAAAAATGATGATATTGCTATAATGTTACTGTTAGTATTTACCAGGATAGTAGCAATAATAAAAGTTTTTTCTCTCGATAATTAAGAAAAACTAATCGTATCATTGTCGAAATAGATAATTGTACGGTCTACACTCCTCGCTATTGGAATTTTCGCTAACCAAACCGTTATTTATTTATATTTATTTATTTATTTATCCTTTCTTTGGAAACGACATTTGAATCGGATAACAAGAAGAGAGTGACCGTTGATCACGATCTCTTTCCTTTCCTTCCAGCATGACCATCACCATCACGAGCCCGGCATGCCCTTCGATTTCAATTACGCCGTGAAGGAGGACGCCTTCGGCAACGATTACTCACACAACGCCATTAGCGACGGCGATATCGTCCGCGGTGAGTACAGGGTGCAGCTTCCGGACGGCAGGACGCAGGTAGTGCGCTACACCGCGGATTGGCAGCACGGCTTCAGCGCCCAGGTCTCTTACGACGGGACACCACGCTTCGACGTCCCCCGGCCGGGCGGTAACTTTCGAGGCTATTAGCTATTAGCGTCGAGAGCCTAGGGTTGTTCACTTATCGTCATCGAGAATCAAAAGTGCAGCACGCGACGAATCGTCCCGTATACCTGAAATAGCGATATTTCACATGAAAAAAGAAAACGAAGAAAAAGGAAGAAGAAGGGAGAAATGAAAAAGAGAGAGAATACGTCGGTAAGGACGACGCATCATGAGAAAAAAAATGATATCTCACAACAGAAGAGGACAAACGCTCGTTATATCTTTTACGGCGATATCGGTAATATTGGTGTCACGCGACTTACACATCAGTACGATCCAATCCATAAATCGCGACTTCTTCCCTTTCTTCTTGTGCTTACAAGTTTACGAGATAATAGAAAAAGGGATGCAATTATGCGCGTTGTATTTAATCTACGCTACGTAATTGTTGACATTTTTATTTCGTATTATCTCGAAGACAGATTAGTTCGCGAATCGTGCGGAAGATTGGATCGCACTGATTTATATGTATTAAACTCCCGCAATGAAATCGTGACACTAACGCACTGCTTTGTGATACAAATTACGCAGAACGAAAGAAAAGAATAGACACGAAATAGATGTATTTTCCTTTCCTGTCAGTACCATCTTGCTTCGCTTTGAATATAGAAACCCCTTGTTTTATCTTCATTATGTCGAATTAAGACTTCTTAATGATATTAGTATAGAAAAGTATCGCTTGTCAATATTATACAGATGAAATAATTCACGATTATGAGTGAACTATGTAATGAACTGTTATATTCGATCACGCACGATCACGTTTGCGTAAAACTTAAAAATAGTATTAATGTCCTCTTTTTCCTGAAACTGCCAGATTTACGCGAATAGTAATATCTCTATAACCAACCCTAGTTTCGACTGATAAATATAAATGAATATATTAAGAAAAAAATACTCGATTAATGTGTCAAATGTTCAACTCAATAAAATCTGTATACCATACCAAATTTACTTTGTTTATTTATTTATTTCAATGCTAACAGACATCTGATTTATTCAATAACATGTATTAAAACAACACATATTTGTGAATGTAAGAGATATAATCTGCTTTTTGCTGTCAAGGATCTTCGATAGGAGAGGGCAGAATTTGGTATTGTATAGTATCGGTGTTATAGTATGTAAATACTGGTAAATATATATTACAACAATTGTTTACAACAATTTAATTGTATAAACAATCTATATATTTATGTATACCCATATAAATACGCTTCCGCGTATGCTTTCGTCATATCATCCGAATTTCTACGAATTCTTCTGCCGATTGGCTCCAGATCATTGTAGCATTTGGTGAATACTCTTTCTATGGCCGCTTCTGCTTCTTCTGGTGTTACTTTATGCGCAGCGAGTACCGACAGCTTAGCTTTGCTCTTGACACAATTCTGGACAAATAATATCACATATTGGTAATCATGTGGCAGATATTAAGAACTAACATTCTGTGATAGTATCAATCTCTGGCCAATACTTTACCTGATGCGTCGCTTTTATATTAGTAAAAGATGAGTATCCATGAACCAATGAGCCCAAGAAACTGCAATGACCGATACTTGCAGCTCTGATTTCTGTACAGGCCAGGTGATCAATGTTTTTCAGGTCCAACTTGTTGCGGCAGTAGTCGAACATATGAATCATCTCATGTAAAAGATTAGCCTGCACTGCTCCTTTGCTGACAGCTGAATTTTGGCAGATAACAACCTAAGGATACAAAGAAATTTCATTATTAAAACTACATGATATTCTGGATGCTACATGACAAATTAATTAATTAAGATAAATGTATTTACCTGATTTAATTCCGCATCGTATCCACCAGTTACATATGGACCGCATACTTCACAGGAGATATGTCGCCGAATATCTATTTCACTAAAACATCAGTTATTAATAATTGTCTATTTTAACAAAACAATTTATTATAAATAGCTAAAAGAAAGAAAGAAATGAACCATCCTGAGCTCTTCAATGCTGCTACCATAAGTTTCACTATAGGACCTGAAAAGTTAAATTATTCAAATTTAAAGAGAAGCAAATCAATTATAAAATTCAATCAAATATTATATATCCTTATTTGTTTTCATACAATTATATAAAATTATAATCTCAAAATATAAAATACAACTTAAGAACCATTCATACTTTTCTATTCTTCCATAATTTATCAGAGTATAAACTTCACTTCTACGTTTCTGTAAATTCTTTTCGAAGAATAAGTAATATGAATTAGAAATTTTTTACTCACTATTTTTTATACAATAATATACATTAGTTTCGCATCTAACATTGTCTAACGATTCTCGTCCTTCCAAGCCTATCATTGTCTTGAACCAGCTACGTTTTAATTTTGCTCCTCTTCTCTCAGGATACAGATCCATTCCCCATGAATGATCATCGATTGATTCATTCGTTGATACATTTTCGGCAATATCATTCTCATCTTTTTTCTTTTTTTCTGTCTTTTCATTCTTGCCTATCATCGCCGTAACTTGATATAGTGGAAATAAATTTATATAAAAGAATATTCACTATGTAGTAATTTGCCGTAATATCACTCAATTACCCTCGTCTTAACGTAGCACAAATCTTTTTTCAGACTTGAGGTTATGACGCGGTTATGTCACGAAATTTGTTCGTTTTCGCTGCATGAGAACTGCATTGTACTGAACTGAACCGCATTTGGGATAGACTAGAAGTCTGTTCGTTTTCGCTGCACCTCTGAACTAGTTCAACAAGTTGAATAGAGACAAGTATATGTTTTCTCACTTCAACTTATTGAACTAGTTCAGAAAGCGCTTCAAAAACGAACAAACCTATTATTTTACATTGGAAAAGAGAATTTGCAGAAAAGTATAGAAAATGCAACTAAAAAGAACAGATAGTAATAGAAATATAGAAAATTAATCAGTAAAAGTAATTAACATTACCAGGACGCCGAAAATGATTAATTAGTTCATAGGACCACAATTTCGAGCAATTTTAACAAACATAATTAAAAATTTTTTGACTAAGCATGGTGTATATAAATATCTAGATAAGATACGTCGTTAAAATGCATGACGTTCCTGTAACGAGTCCTTGGAAAAAATTCCCCTAGATTAATACACCAATGGAGGCATTCAATGGCTGTGTTTAGAAAATACAACAATTAAGTAATTAGACAATGTAAATTCCGGTCCACAATAATAAGTGTGGTAAGCTTTAAGTGGTAAATTGATCAATTACAGTCGTATATATAGAAGAATAATCAAATGTGATTGGTAAATTTCTTACGACTTAGAGCTTACTCCACTTGACTAAGGTTAATTGGTCTAAATTTAAGGATCTAAAGCCCATATTAGGCTACGAATTGGGGATTGAGATTAAATTGAATTTGACCAATCAGTACAAAGTTAATTGAACTCAAGTTTAATAAAATTCAAGGAACTTTGCATTGATTGATTAAATTTCAATTCAATCTCCAATCCGTAGTTTGATACGGGCATAACAGTAAGTAATAGCTGCGTTCAAAGAACACAAGCGGTCAGTGGTTATTTGTTAGATCCCTAAAGTTAGACTAATTACGTTGACCGTTGTGCAATTTTTGTGTTTTTTGAACGCAGCCAATTCTCACTGTTCACTAGTTCTGTTCGTGTTGCCTGCACTTTTGATACTTTTACATCTGTTGCTCATTGCACATTGGCCTCTCTTTAAAAGGAAAAGCTCTCATTGGATATCGCTCATCATATTCGGTGTGCAGCGGGCATTGGTTTCAAGAGTGTGAAAAGTATAAGCAACGCGAACAAACCTACCGATTGCTATGTTACGCTAAACGCAGCCAATGAAAACACCGGGAGACGTTCGACCAACATATCTATATCGTCTACATATCTTATGTTAACTTAACCTGTGACCTACGCGTGAGCACCATCGGAGAATAAACGCGGAGTTCCTTTTGCTATCGATTTCAGAAGGCGCGAACATGGCTGAGGTAAGTTCTCCAAATTCGATGTTAAATCCAAAAAATACTTATACATCCATTATGTGAGACATAATTGCACAAGTCACACGTGTTAATTATATTTCAAACTCTATCAGAAAGATGATATTAACGTACAGCAGCTTATTCCGTTACCGTCGTGTATGTTATAGATGTCTGTTTAATCTTCTCTCCTTTTACTTTTTACAGGCGGATGAGACCCAGAAGAAGAAGAGGACCTTCAGGAAGTTTACCTTCCGAGGGGTCGACCTGGATCAACTCCTAGATATGCCCAAGTAAATTACACGTTGCGAATAGTTTTCAAAACATAACCTTATTACAATCATGAAATCTCATGAAGCGCACAAATGAATACTTGTATATTTTCATTTGTAAATGATGGTTAAGATTAAATAATTTTGAGAACTTTTCTTGTATAATAAAATTGTCAAAAAAAGAAAAAAATAAACAGCATATATAAATATGGTGTTGAAGAATATACTATACCAATAATTTTTCTTCCAGTGAGCAACTTATGGATTTGATGCATGCGAGAGCACGTAGGCGCTTTTCTCATGGACTGAAGAGAAAATCAATGGCACTTGTCAAGAAATTACGGAAGGCAAAGAAAGAAACACCACCCAATGAAAAGCCAGAAATTGTAAAGACCCATTTGCGTAATATGATCATTGTTCCTGAGATGGTAGGTTCCATTGTAGGTGTATACAATGGAAAAACCTTCAACCAGGTTGAAATCAAGCCTGAGATGATCGGCCACTACCTTGGTGAATTTTCTGTTACATATAAACCAGTTAAGCATGGTAGGCCTGGCATCGGTGCTACGCATTCTTCGCGATTTATTCCACTTAAATAAAGTGTATTTTATAAATCAATAAATGTACAAAGAAAAATATAACACATGAGTTTATTGTTCTTAGAAGTAGCAATCAACCTAATTGCAAGATCCGACTCAGTGTGCAAAATTTAAATTTGCTTAGAAGATTAGTAGTCCCAGAAGACTGTGGTTAACCATTTTCCGATGACGTATGATTTCTTCTACAGGGTCTTCCATTAAGAGGTTTCATTTTTAATTAATAAAAAAAAAGAACAAATTTTTGAAAACGTTGAGATATATTTGTTTTAATTCAAAATACAGATTGTGCGATTTCAACGTAGGACATAATAGCATCCAAATAGCCTCGACTTTTCTTACAAATGGTCATTCTTTTGAGGAAATTTTCCATCACGTTTTCACACAATTGCGGCTCAATTTCGCCAATAATAATTCGAATATTGTCTTTGAGTGCTTCAATCTTATCCTTCACATAACCTCAAAGGAAAAAACCCAGGGGTGTCGCACGATCTGGGCGGTTAATTGAAGTCTCCGTTACGCGAAATGATGCGTCCAGGGAACTTCTCACATAATAATGCGATCGTTTCACGATTTCCATTCTGCTGAAAATAAACATCGTTTAGGTCCAGTTCTTCAATTTCAGGCCAAAGAAAGTTTGTCAGCATTTTTCGATAGAGCAATCCATTGATTGTGACAGTGCAACCATCTTCATTTTTGAAAAAAATACGGCCTGATGACGCCGCGAGCCCAAAAACCGCACCAAACTGTTGTGGTGTATGGAGAGGTTGTTCGTCAATCGCTCTTGGGTTTTCAGTGCTCCAGATGCGGCAGTTTTGCTTATTGACGTAGCCTTGAAGGTGGAAATGGGCCTCATCGCCCAAAATGATTTTCTTGAAAAAATCAGAGTCAATCGCTTGCATTTCCAATACCTAATCGACGAACGTACGGCGTTGTCTATAGTCCGTCGGCTTCAATCTCTTGTGTCAGTTGGATTTGTTGTAAGCATGTAGACCAAGATCTTTGTGCAAAATGCGGTACAGGCTGGTTTGTGAAATGCCCAATTGTTGCGAACGTTTTGCAATAGACAAACCAGGATTTTCCGCGACACTTTCAGCCACAGCAGCAACGTTTTCGATTGATCTGACTGGCCGAGCAAGAGTTCGGTTCTTAACATCGCTAACCTGGCCGAGAAGATGCTTTTCTGCGAAACTGGTACGGAAAATTTTGCGAACTGTCTCCGCGAAATTTTCACCGTGTTTATAGTGAGTTTTCACTACTTCTATCCATTGTTTAAGCGAATATCGATCCATTGTTATTAACTGCACAGTTTTTACTCGACAACTGTCAAATATGACAACTTCATCTATAACAGGTACAAAATGCCGCGAAACTTGAAACCTCTCAATGGAAATAGTTTACAAACGAAAACGTGCAATTTTTGTGGAGATGAAAGTGTATAATCAAGACTTCTAGGTTCAATCACAATAAAATGTAAAAAAAAAAAGTATGATTTTATTGCCGCAAATAATGGATTGATACAAAAATTTACTGTACAAAGTACACAAGATATAGAGCAAGATATAACACTTTATACATTCTCATAATTTTTCCTATATAAACTTTCTCCCTCTTTCTATCTACATATATTCATGTGTATATGTGTAATATATTGAAACTCGCATAGAAGATTTATTAAATACCTTGCAAATCAATAGGAAATGTATCTTACTATAATAAGGAACCTGTCACTCGACAAGCCGAGACATATAAGAAGCGTGCTGCCTGTTACGCCTAGCTATCGCTACTGGTACTCTGTTTCATAGCAAAGTAGGCACTTTGAAGCTCCCGGAGATTGCTCTCTAAAGTCGCGACTTCGTCGTACTTGCAATCTGCCCGGGCTTGCTTGATGTAAGCGTGAAGATTGCTCATTTGTTCGATCAGCGGATCCATAGAGGAAGACATGATGGGTGCGACACTGGACGGGCCCCAGCCCTGAGACTGTGTCACCACCGGCTGTGCCTGAAAATGTAGACATTTTATCACGATCAAGTTCAAGTCAGATTTTTGCACGTTAGCACGATTTAAGATTCGAATTTTGAATCGTTATTGCAACTCCGCTTTGATTAGCGCATACCTGAGTAGTTTTCACAGAAGGTCCACTGTCCAAGTTCCACGTCTCCCTTTTGCGCTGTTCCTTTGACTTTTCTCGCTGTTCTTCCTCCAGTTGTCGCTCGTACGCTATCCGAGCCTCTATCCTCTTCTGACGTTCCTCTTGCAGAGTTGTGTATTCCTCCGGGGTGGGTAAAGGTTGCAGCGTCAGTAGCTCTTCCTTCAGAAATATCATCGCCGACGTTCGGACCATCTGGTACAGCCTGTGCTCCTGCCCCGGCGGAGCGGCCTGATCCGTATCTTTCGGCGTACCAAGCACCAGAATCCTCTTACTGGTCGCGTCTATGTTTTCGCCAAGCTTCGCCAGTTTCAGTCGCAACGTTTGAGCGTCCTCCAGACTATACATTGTCTCCCCTTCTCTGGAAGTTTCACGTGCGTTCAATATCATCGTGCAATCGGTACCAAATCGACGATTCTAGCGAGGACTCACGTACTTCAACGACTTCCACATTTTATTGTACATCGCCAAGTGCTTCGTGGCCTCCCCCATGTAGTCCCGCATCTTCTCGTAAAACTGACAAACGATCGGTTTGTCGAATTGTTTCGCTTTCTGCATCTCCCGCGCGTCGAGCAGGTTCATGCAGTGCATGCAAACTCGGAAATGCTGCTCACCGCTAGCCGGATCGTTGACTAACGATAGTACACTGTTCAAGCTACCGCTGGAAGGTGAACGCGCCAGCTTCGTGAGACCGACACCAGCGCGCATTATCCTCTCGGAGAGGGCTCGTTCCGACGCGGGCGGTATAGCGGAATCATCCTGCACCGATACAGGATTCGTCATTTTCCCTGTGGAGAAGAGAAATATATCTTGTCAGTCATAAACTTGGAGACGGAAAGTCTTCTCTCACGGGCGCAATATTACGGTAAATTAATTACGTACGTGCACTAACTAGAGATAGAAATAAGGTGCAGTTATGGCACATGACTGCTCCGCACAGTCTGCAGTGATGTTTTCTCCTCGCCAGGTGAAAGCTCTTAGCGCAATTGGGACACAGTTTCACGTTTTTTTCGTCAATCCACGGCACGATGGTGCGTTCGTGAGCTGTTGTAATGAAATTTGCTTCTCAATCACCATATTTCAATTGTAAGGAAAACAGGATAGAAACATCACGAAACCAAGTATGGTGTACGACAATTTATGCATTTCCATACCTTTCCTATCAACAGGATCTGACGGTAAATTATTTAATAACTTATCTAGTCTTATGAGAAGTTTATTCGTTTCATATGCGTATCTCTCTAATCGAGCGTTTCTTATGACCTTAAAATACTTTGTATGGGATGTAAATGCACCTGGAAAAGTACCCAATAATGATATACCCTACAAGTCGATTACACCTGTGTAACAGATGTAGACACAATTCTTGATGCATATTAAAAAAGTCAAGAAGCTAGGCGTTACTGTGCGAAGCAAGTGATACAGGATACATCGATACCTATTTCTTGTGGTCCATAATTAATTTCAGGACTGTGCCTCTTGCCCTGCGCTATTGCACCTGAAAGAGTTCCTGGCATATCATCCTGCTTCAAGATCTTCTTTTTAGCTTTGCCAAAGAGATCTGAAACACAACAACAGCTCTGACGTATTCTGCACATATTCCACAAGTTCATACAGCGATGCTAATAGAATCTAATGAGTTTCTCAAAAGCGAGGAGCAAATCAAAAGAACATTCCGTCACCTTTCAAAGATTTTAAAATCTCCGGATCGTCATTGTGGATCTCCTCGAAATGCTTCGTTAAGTGATTGGGTGTCTTGAAGTCGGTCATGCATATGGGACATATAAATCCCTCCAGAACTTCGCCGTTGCCGGCCATCGCGAATTCGAGATAATCTCGCGATTTACAGTTCAGAATCCGTCAGTCACATTCACCAGTCTCACACTCGATTTACTGTAGGCGTTTCTCCAGTGCTTTCCTGGAGCGATCGCATCTTGCGAGCGGCCATATTGAATTTGTGACAGCTGATAAAAGGTCTGTTTTTTTTTCGCTGCACTAAAACTGCACCAGAACTACACTGAACTGAACCGCACTGGGGCAGACTAGTACAGAATAGTTCAGTTCAGTGCAAAAATGCAATGAAGAGGTCTGTTCGTTTTCGCTGCACCGCTGAAACGCCAGAATGCAGTAGACAACATGGCGCATCACATGGAATTATTTGATTCTTCTGACGAAGAGGATTTTGTTCTAATACAACCACCATTATAACCCATTGTGAATGAAAATGATGAATGTAATATACAGCTAAATATAGCAAATTTATTACTAATTTATAATATTATATACCCTACTGATCGTAAATTTAAATAAATGACTAAATATCTCGTTAATGTAACCTAAGACGTAACGTATATATAATTTTAAACTAAATATATATATAACATTAACGTGATATTTTGTCCTTTATTAAAGTAATCTGTGGAGAATTTATATAACTCTAATCTAAATATTATCTGTTCGTAGATCAGAATGTATTATTAATGTACTATTAATGTATCCACTTCTGGGAATAATGCATAAAACAGAACATATTAACACTTTCACAACCGCATGTTAGCGCAGTGAAACGTCGCCAGTGGCCGGCAATATTTTGGAAGAAAAAACTTTACGTAAATTCATGAAACAATTAACATTATTATGACGTGCTAAGAAAAGTTTTGCAAGTGGCTTGCCACTGGTACCACGTGGGATTCACCGGCAAATAGCGACTGGCCTATCAATGGTACCACGTGAGTGTCACCGGCAAATAACGACTGGCCTACCAATGACACCACATGAGTGTCACCGACATAAAACGACTGGCCTGCCCATGACACCACATTGGTGTCAGCGGTTGTGAAAGTGTTAAAATACCAAATTATATAGAAAATATTGTTAACAATTATAACAATATAGATTTCATAATGCATTTTCGCTTATCAAGAACGGTAGCATATGGTCTAGTAGATCGATTCAGGATGTGTGATGAATTTACATCGATGGAAAGTATGTATTATAACAACATTACTTATTATTATTAATTGTGCAATAGGACAGATAGTTTATATTATAAAACACGAGACAATTGGAAGAACAATAATTTATTTACATATCAATTTGCATATATACCGTTCAATGTTAATATATATATATATATATATATGTATTAATAACTTAGTATATATTATATTTCAGATCTGGTAGGACGTTTAAAAGTTACAGCTGAGAAACATATCCTATGTTTTCTGTGGTTTGTTGGACATGAAAGTGCATCATATAGAGATGTAGCAGACAGATTTGGAATAACAATTAGCACTTTATACCACGTTATTAGTAGAGTAACACAATTTTTTATGTCTCTTGCGCCTAACTACATAAAATATCCCTCCGCACATGAAAAACTAGAAACTGCTACTTTTTATGAAGAAAGAAAAGGATTTCCTGGTATAATTAGTAATAAACTGACATTAATATACTTAACATTTATATACTTTATATTTTCTTTATTACATAGCAACGCATCACTAATATATGATATTTCGTCTCCAGGTGCTATTTATGGATCTTATGTCAGAATTGACAAACTAATAGAAGATCCCGATTCATATATTAATCGCAAACAATATTTTTCGTTGCACATGCAAGGAATTGTTAATCATAAAATGAAATTTATCGATATTTTTGTAGGATATCCAGGTTCTGTGCATGATGCAAGAGTGTCGAAACTCACCAATATATGACAATCTACATGAACTTTGTGCAGATAAGAAGTACAAGACATGAAAAAAGATGTAATTAGGGCTCCTGCATATAATAATTAATATCCATTATAAACATTAATGTTACAGATATTTATTTCTTATTGGGTGATAGTGCATACCCCATTAACTCCGAAGGAGTTAATGGTACCATATAGAGACAATGGACACTTGACACATGCGCAAAGACTGTTATCCTTATCTTGGACATATATAGAGTGCAAAAGCAAGGAATAAATAATGATAGTCGTATGCCTTTGCCGTTGGCACTGTACCTAGAGAAGCAACGAAAGATATTTTCATAAAACAAGATGCAGCATGCGTCTGGACACAAGTGCCGCGAGGATCATACATTCATACAGCTGTCCCTGTAACGTAATTTATCGCTGAGTAGAGAAACACGCGGTAACACATCTTTCCGCAAACGTTGGTGAACAAAAGAAAACTGCTTTCAGGTAATAATGCGCGCGGGGTGCGGTTGAATGCAAATGCCAAGTATTTTTATAGCTTCACAAAAAAATGGACTCCGCGTTAAGGCGCTGCATGGACATTATTGGTTTACGAGTGCCTCGTCGTGTGAGTTTACGAATAAAAGTTTATTATTCTGCTCGGGGGTTCTCCGTGAGTCCTCGCGTCTCGCTAGGTCCCTTTACCCGAAGCAACCAACGAAGAAATACCCTGTTTTATTTTACGATTAGCCTGATATTGATTAACACGTTGAGCGCGGCGCCGATTTTGTTATCCTTTCCGCTCAGGCGGCAGTGAGCGAGCACTTGATGCCGAGCGCTCAAGAGGTTTTTGGAATAGAGAGTATGAACAGAAGATTACTTTGTTTCACTTTACTGTGGGATGGTGCAGCCAATGCATGAGTATACAAATTATAAACAGAAGATAATGGGAAGGGGAACGGCAAGAAGGTGACCTCCAAGAGACGATCAATCTTATTGCAATATGTGCAAATCTCATCCACACCTTTGCTTAAAATGTTTTAATAAACTCCATTAAAATTATAACATTAGTTTTTTAACCCTTGACAATGCCGGTTTCACGCACCAAGTCCACTGTCAGTCCCCAGGGAGTGACGCCGCCTGAACGAAAAGTGTACTGTCAGTCCCCAGGGACCGACGCTGTCTGAACGGAAAGTTCACTGTCAGTCCCGAGGGACTGACGTCGCACTCAACGTGTTAAAAGAATGCGGTTTTAACAGAAATTACATTATTGAAAATAGAAATTTTGTTGACGAATCATTTATATAATTATGCGCATAATGTCTAAAAACAGTCTCTAAACTACTATTGAATAGAGGTTATAAAATTTATGATAAATATTATGTGACA